ACACATGATTTTTCTTTGTCTTGTCTGTTGTGTCTTCACGGGGTGGATGTTTTCTCGATGTGGAACGATAATGTGCAGACGGATGTTCAGCTTCATGGAAAGATAAGATAAACTGAGATGGAGAAAAGAATTTTCACTCGAAAGTCTAATTATGAGCGAAAGCTTGCCGTGGAAGATGAAATTCACATTAAAACCACGGTAGCCCATACCCAAAGTGATACTCTTCGTGTTCTTCAAGCGAGTAGAATCCACCGAGTGAACCTCTGAAGCGCAACACGGAGGAATGGTTGTTCCTTCCTAACCCCTCATTGTTTATTGACGGCATTACAGGTAATACAGGTATTAAATACTCTATAAGAGGTTTTTCTATCATAAGCATCACTGAAAAAAAGCAAACTCACATCTTCGATCACGGTCGGGCTCCTAAGTTGCAAAGTAGCTGCTTCCGATTTATTCTGTAGTTGACAAAAGTATCTTCGAGGCATGCGGCCGACAAACGCATAAGGGGAACTATTTGGTCATTTAGAGTTATCTGACGACGAGCACGGCGTTTTTCCGTAGAGGCTGTTTGCATATGAACGCCGGTGTCGGGAATTACCGCCTCATATCGCTCTCGATTCCACTTAAGATAGCCCGAACGTTGACTCATGAAACTCGCCATGTTACTTGCTTTATTGAGGGCACCGTTTCGTCATCCACGCACATACGCACACAACGGTAATATGTTAGCGTTCACATGTCGTCCACAATTGCCTTAGCTTTTTGGATACTATAATGACGATAACAAGCTAGGGTATGGTGAAAAATAGTTTGCCTAAGCCATTTTTGCAGTCATACAGAGATTTACCAGACGTCAAATATAGTTATCGATCGCTTTAGAAAATTTTTACAGATTTATCTTATGTGTGACATAGGAGAGAAGTAATTTCTAGAATGGTGAATGAAATTTATGTGATTGTAAGGATCTATAGTTGATTTTCGAAAAACATCTAACTTTGCAATGTTGAGTAGTTGTATTCCTACTAAATTCCACCTAGCAGAACGATCTGCGTGTGGAATGACAATTCAGCAAAAAAAGAGATCCTACCGATCATTTGAGACTATTGTTAAATAACTAGATAAACAGTTTACCCCGTTTGGTTTGCGGTTCTGGAATCGTGCATTTTCATTTTTAGCTGGAACTCACACATCTCCGGAGACCATTCGATATTACTACATTCTTCATCGTCCTTGCTGCATCGCATATTTCTCTGTCCATTCAGAGATAAGGAAAACAGTTTGATTTCTTCGGGATGGAATCGAACCTACATCCATTTGCATACATGCATTTCACACCGTCATGTATTACCAGATTTCCCCTAATTCTATGTTGTTCACGGTTTAACCAAAACAAAACTTGCTCACCCAGTTAGATGAGCACCCAATCATGTAGAGCATCCAAATTTTAATAGCGCCCTACAAAAGACTGCTCAAGAAGCCTAAGAATCATTGTAAGAGCACTGATAGCTCTAACGACTGTCTACAACACATTATCTAAAAAACCGCCACGTCCGCTGGTATCATGACAGGCATCTTGATGTCAATGCCGCAAAGCCGTTAAGATTTTAGCCAGTGGGGATACTCACGAGTAGTCCCAGATTATGATGGATTTCATACGTCAAAACGCTCCTCAGGAATATAATTTTATTCGGTCATCTTTTTTCAGATTATGGCGAAATCGATGTACGAAGTATCAAAAACGACAAGAGCGAAGGCTCTTCACCTGCTCACTGTGCTTTCGAACCAAACGATTTGGTAGACTTGTGCCGAAAAGCATAAACTGTGTAGCAAATCTTAGCAGAAAAAAGCCTATACGATGAAGAAAAAATTTTTTAAATGTGCTGACGAAACCCATTTAACAGTGACAGATTTAAGACAGTGGTAACCTTTTCCGGCATAGAGGCTAACATAACATTCTATTGAGAAAAAACTCGTTAGGCTTTCTCCCATGTGTTTTCGACGTCCGCGATTCCTTGGTTTTCATTTTCTTTTAGTATATCGTAACTAATTCTTACACTAAAATCCTGCAGTAAAAGTTACCCTCGTTTCATTAGTAACTTCCTTCCACTACTGTATTCACGTCTTGTCTGCCTAGCCACTTATAAGTGACGTATTCTCAATAGAGATTCAGACAAACATCTATACAGCTCTAAGCCTGTCTATCTGATGGTTCGTTGACTCCAGCTGTTGTTCTCTGTCTTCACAACGGCTGCCCCATTTTCGGATACCGCATTGAGGGCGGGCCGACGATCCTGCGCACTGTTGGTGACGAAGGCGAACGGCAGAGGCGGGACATGCGCCTCCTATTCAGTTACTCGGCTCCATTTTGATTATGGTTAAACATCGAATGTACCGCATCTTGAATTTCTTATAATGAGTGTTCTCTACCCTTGATCTCCGAATTCGATCTTTCAGTACAAATCGATTGATTCGCTGTCCAGGTTAGGCACTGCACGCACAAGTATTGTCTCTGAAGCAAACTATGCTTCCTTCTTATTCTAGAGTCGTGGTCGCTTTCCTTACCGCCGTCATTTATTTGGTAAGTGCTTTTCGCTAACTATCAACGTATGATTTTGCATTTCAAGTGACCTAAATTTTCCTAATAAAATGCCTTAGTATCTGACCTGCTGGTGCATTCTGTAGGAGGAAAAGCACTTTCATATAACCCCTTTCGTTCGCTTGTCTCTAAGCATCCGTCTTTCCTTGAGCTGAGAGCCTCTACAGGATAAGCTAACTGAATGATTCTGTCTAGGTGAATAGCTCGGGCTTGCTTGATGTTCGACTCATCTCATCGAGATCATGTAGTGTGAAACTTTGTGTGAAGAAACCTAAGGCTAAGCCATTGGATAGTTGCCTCTTGGAATCTCAACACATTCATCTTCTGTCACAACAACAGCGGGTTGTCAGCACACCGTTTCATTTCCCATTTCCGGTAAGATTTCAGTACTTTTCGCATACGGCATTTCTACCGACTCAGATTCAATGTTTACTTTCGATAAACATAAACTAGGCAAAATTCTTGGTGTGGTATTGGAATAAATGTGTTAATTTTAGTTCTAATGGTTTATTAAAAATGAGATAATTCAAGGATTATGAGGGTATCTGAGATAAGCTGCGACAAGGAGCTCATAACCTTAAGCATAGTTTTCTTGAATCCGATGAGTTCATAGAGAAAATTGTTTGATGAGAGCATCGTTCAGCATTTGTTGTGCCGTCGATGCCACAGTAACTGTAATATTAAATCATTAAACAACAGAATTAGTTTATTATAATAAGCGATATGAACAGATATTTCGGAATCTTCAAGAAGTAATGCAGCGAAAAAGTATTTTTAAAAAGGCCACTAAATGAACTAATCAATAATAAAGTTAGTACGTGTCATCGTATGGTAAAGGTCTCTATCAGCACGTAGTGCATCCTTTTGTTTTCCCAGAAGCGATTCGTGGGAAACTGTATTTCTCGACGATTACAGAAATTACACATTTCAGGACGCCTTCATACTTGTCACAGACGTCTTCGATTCTCAAGGAGGTATGGTTTTCTCAGTGTTGCAACTTCTTTACCGATTTTCTTCATCATTTCATGGAGTTCTGAAGTTTTCGAATTCTATCGTAAATTAGAACATCACCTAAAATGAATAAGTTTGGAAAGATCTACTCTTCTTGGAGATGTATGCTTTTTGATGAATCAGCATGGATTTAAGGAAATTCGCTCCACCTCATGGAGATTCTCTAAATCATATAAATCTCAGCATGAATATTTGTGTGCTCCAGAGTTAGCGATATGTGATTATTTGCTCTCTGAATTCCGATTTTTCTTTCTTCCATTAAATGTCCTTTGATCAAAATGATTTTGGTCTGCAACATCGAGCCCATATATCTAACGCTCTGAGCATAATGCCTACTATTTAGGTTACTGTACTTCCAAAAAGCGCGCTTAATGTCGGCGTAAATTCGCGTTCCGCTTATCGCCGGTAGCGTCGTTCGCTTGGCAACATGCCATCGGCACTATTAAAGAAGGTGTATACGTTGGATAAAGTGTCAACATAGATCTAGCGATAACTCGTCCATCTGCATTTTATGGCCAGAAATAGTGAGGAGATCTCTCGCGTAACCACCTGTTAGCTAGGTTTGCACCATGGTTTGTCGCCAGTTTCTTATTGTATTGACGTCAAAAATGGCAAATCATGAAAGTCCGCAATCACAGACCCAGCCGTTTCGACGAGTAAAGAACACCTTCGTTGTTGTAACTAGAAATTATCTGCTTGTCAAGAAATGGTTGTGATGTACTTTCTCCTAGAAGATTGTTTCTTCAAGAAGATTTTTATGAAATCAAACTCTAATATAGAAAAACAACCTATGTCTTTTTCCTCTCATGGAACGACCTTACTTATATTAACGAAAAGATTTTGTATATCCTACTAATAGTGGGTAATATTTGTTCCTATCAAAATGTCAATAAAAAGGGCACTTCTGGAAAAACCTTCATCGACTCATGCTTTATTGCTCGAGCACTTCGCGCACCTTCCATTCAACCCGACCATTTATGACCTTTTTGTGATGCTAATCGATAAGGCTGTTATCAATGCAAATAGCTGTCGAGTACGTAGATTATCACTGAGAATAAACATTGGCGCACGCCATACACTCATGAAACCTTAGAAAAGGTGGCTACTTTATTGTGGACGGCAGCGAAAGTGTACACGGTTAAGATTTTGTTGAATTGCAGCCACTTCTTACAAGTTATATGGTCTCTAGACACGAGACAAAAAACGAAAATTTACCTCTGAACTAACCTAGGTAATTCTGCCTTTGTTTAGCTACGTTATGATCCTTCTACCTCCTTTAGTTCGCTTGTTTGTACTTGATTATCTAGAATCGATAGCATTATAGTATTTCAGAAAAAAACCTTTCCCTTTTTTACGAACGGTGATTAGCCGCCGAATATTTCGCTATAGGCTGATGTGGCCATTCACTATGAGTATTCCTAGGCAGCAAGAGAACCAATTCGTAGTAGTCAACGTTGGGAGCGAGTTAGGTTAACGTACTATTACGCATGATTTAAGTGGATTTTCTTGCTTCTCGCGTTTCGAAACTGGTGACATAGACCTCGAAAATGTCAGACTTTCGAGTGGGGCCACAGGGTTGAGATAGTCGGAAGTACATCCGGGAGCGACTACGTTTACGCCAGTTTACGGGCGCACACCCAGCTGTCACCAAACACCCGTTGAGGAGCACCTGCACGCACTTGACTGATGCGGAGGATCGTGTTGTTCGCCCGATGAAGTCACATCAGTTGATCGTTGTCGACCTCGAATAGCGACGACTACAGTTCATCTACTCACTACCACCGTAATACCAGCAGGACATTATGAAGCTTCTGCCTAGATGTTGTAAACAAGTAATATATCGACATAGTAATTACATCATTGAGCGGAATAAAATACTGTAGAATAAAATTTTAAGAAGAAGCTAAAACATTAATTTTTTATCTAAGCCGATATTTGCTCAAAATCACGAACATCACGACCGTTGATACTAAAACCCGAGGTTCGAAGGAAGTTTGTGATTAGTTCATAACTTATTTATACTGTAACAGTTTGCCATTGCACTATTAAGCAGAACTTAACGAATGTTCTGAAATTTAAGCACATTCTCTTGATAAAATAAAGATTTTCTTCAGACTTACTGTCAAGTAACACATCTAAGGAGAAGTTCACCATCGGTAGCGAATTTATTCCAGCTGAAGGATCATCCGATTTTTTAGACATTGCATTTCGATCATCATGTCAACCGTAGGTTTCCAATTCAGTAAATTTAGTCATTTAATTTTCTATACTGCTTTGTTTTATCCTTTTTCTAGATCCTACTACGGTTCCGGATGTCAACGTTACTGTAAAGCATCATTCAGTTATACCTGTGACGCTAATGGAAAAAGAATTTGTCTCACTGGCTGGTTCGGAGAGCAATGTGACCAGCGTAAGCGATTTTTGATGTGACCATGATATTTCGTCAGTCTTATTCGCTGGTTACTTTTCTTTTCATGGTAACTTTTTCGTTGGAAAAATTTTTGAGAAAAAACGGACTACTGTAGTTGTTCACTTTAACGGAATAGTAGAGTTGATTTCACAATGTTAGCTTTTTATTTACTACCTACTATAATTTTTCACGGTAGCGTTTTGCATGAAACACAACCGCAGTGATGCTGAGATATATGCAAAACTCCGGACCTCAGGTGGCTGCGGTGAGGATCGAACAATCTACTACCTTTTCCGGAACCTCACGCGTTCACCGTCACACCATAGTGGTGTTTCATTTCGCCTTTCTCTCAGCTAGTTCTCTATCTATCAGTGCCATCAACAATCAGAGTTGATTTCTTTTTTTATTGCGCCCGGAAAATTTCCAGCTCAATATGATGTTAGGAGATTTTTATAAAAAATTGAAGAAAAAATACGATTGTGAATATGAAAAAAAAAGAAACAAAGGTTTTCGTCCTTTAATGAAATACTGAAAAGTGCTCAAAACTGTGCTCATTTTTCGTCGTGCTCTTGTGTTTTTCGGCGAATTCTATTCTTACTAAGTCACTGTCCTGACCATCACCGACCTCGTCGGACACATATGCCTTCGGTAGTTATGGTTGTCGACGACGTAGACGCACGTGTCGATCGTAAATTAGCTATACGGTTTCTCCATACTTCCGTATGGTTTTAGTGCTCACGTTTACTTTATGAGCCACTGTAAATAGCGGACGGTATCTTGCCAGTGGTGTGGCTTTGACTGTAGTCGGTAAGCACCACTACCACCACCACCAACAACACCGTCATGACTCCCAGCCATTGTTCGAGCTCAGCGACGCATATTGTCAATTGGCCTAACTCCTCTAGTCGCTCTTTTGTCAACAAATTCCTCTGATGTGTTAGATATGTCACTGGCGAGCATCTCAAAAAGTTTTGATGAAAATTAAGTTAAGAATCACTTACTACGAAATTTGACGAAGAGATGGAAGGACGGAATCGTTCGCCGTATTCGAAGATTAGAAGATCTGGCGTATTCTTAGGATGAAAGAATCCTTCAAGGTATGGTGACGACTAGGCTCATGCTTGTCGTCCTTACCTCTTAGCACTTAATTATGGCAAAATTTGTAAATTTTTAAGTTTTTCAGTAAGTTTACTTCTCTGCTTATACATTTTTTTATTGCATAGTAGGGAAAATTAGAAAGAAAGGATTCGATGCTTCCATTAGAGGGATCAGCTAAGAATAAGCTTGTGGTAAGTGTCGTCATCTTGTTAGAGCAAACCTGGCCACAATGTATCAGACCCTTCTACTACATAAATGCCACTGAGAATGGATGATGATTAATTGGGCATGGCAAAAAACTCCAGTTTCCGGAAGTCATGGAAAGATTTCGAAACAACTGACAATATCACGGTAAAATGGAAAAGCATATTGGGTGACGTTACCATTTCTTGCTAAATATGGGCAATCCATGGATTAGATGACCACTGGTTTGAGCCCAACTCCTCCAAAAACTGCGCTACAAAGAACTGTATTGTTCAATTGTCCTATTGGTCGATCATCGATTAATAAAGCTTTTAGATAGCATAGAACTTGTGTCCATTAATTCTTCCTACTCTTCGTTACGACATCTCCCATTCTGATTTTTCTCTTTACAGTCTCTTTATTCACTTTTTACGACCTCTTCATCCACGCTTCCCTCTTCCCTCTGCTCCTATTCATTCCGCTCGGCCTGCGCTCCTCATTTTCAGCACCTGGCTCACTGTTTGCTACTGTTGGTTTCACAGATGCCGGCTGCATCAATAGAATCGCCGGACGGCGACCGTTCGAAGGACGACAATTTCTTCAAAGAAATAAAATGGAACGAGTGAAAAATAAAACTTTCCAATACAACTAACGACGTCTACGAACTTATTTCCGCGTTTGCTCCTTTTTAATTTGTTTCCATTTTTATTGTTAAAAACTAGTTCGCTTTTACATGAATCAGATGCACCTTAGTCATTCAGAATAAAGACAATTCATTCCAATAAGTGCAAAGAATAGGGCAGGTGTGGTACAGCGGTCGGAGGCGCCCTTCGACATACGTGGAATCGATTCCCGTGCTCATGGCCCACCAAGCATTTCACCTTTCCGAGGTCGGCAAATTGGTACCAGACTTGTCTAGGACAATAGCAGCACTGGCTCGATATATCGGCAGGCTACCGCGAGTCATTGTAGCTGCCAGATATGCATTCAGTCACCTCCAAACGATGGTTAATGAGGTGGAGTGCACGGCGCATCCCTCAGCGATTGATCAACGCCGAGAGCTTTATTATTTATCCTTTTATTAAATGGAAAGAAGTCATTTGGTAAAATTTCTGCCGTTATTTTGTGTTTTTGTTCTTTCTTTTTCAGCAGTGTTCATTAAGATTTTGCAACGGGGATTAATTTATTCAAACACAGCAAATGCGGCGCCAATTTTGAGATTTTCCAAGGAGTGCTTCAAGTAAAGGAACACTGAGCTTCCCACGGAATTTTTGTTTCGTCTTGTTCTATGAAAATTTTTAACAATTCCATTTTCAAATCAGTTGTGGTTTTCAATGAAAAAAGGAGCATAAGCATGTATTTTCACGCAGCCTTAGGTTTGTATTGAAAAAATATTTTTAAAAATAGGCTTCTTCTAAAAAAAATACATTGGAATGTTTTTGTTTCTCAATAGTAAACAAAAAAGGCGACAATGTTTAAAATCTTCTTCGTATTTCTTTTGATGCTCTTAGGTTATCAAGAAGAACAAGAGATGGTCTGCTGAGACAAAGTAAACCTCGAGCAAAATTGTGAACATTTTAGAAATTATTGTAGAAATGTGAAAAAGAAATATTCAGAAGTGCTTTACGAATGCTTTAGCAATTTGTCCCAACGGTTGCCAACACGGACGATGCGTTGAACCTGGCAGATGCGAATGCGATCACGGATTCTTCGGATCCACATGCAGTGACGTAGGGATTCCATTTCCTTTATTATTTAATAAAATAGAAAGGTTATGACGAAGTAAAACACAACTAGATATTTATTGAAGTTTCATCAGCAGTTCAACAAAGACGCCTGTTTTTCTAGCAACGATGAAGTTCGCTCAGACATAAACCAGCTTTCGCAAACCCCCATTAAATTGATCAATGTCGAGAATTTCAACAATTATCATAGACACTCGGTTACTTGAACGGCCCTTTTTAACTTATTGTGCGGGTCCCACCGTAGTTTTCTTTTTCTCAGAGCTTGTTAACTTCGCTATTGTGGTTCCTTGGAGTCTCGAGGTTAGCCTAGGCATAGTTTGTCTCAGGTCTTCACCAACACAGGCTGTCGCCGGACCAAAGAGAGATTTGCTATCATGCGCTTAGTTTGATGGCAGGATGGTGGTGCATCCTGGCATTGGTTTATTCTTAGCTGGGCTTCATGATGGAAACGCCGGACTCCTTCTTAGGTTAAAAGATCCTGCTGGGAGGCGTATACCTCTACTGTACATCGCAGCCCGACACCCAGTGACGATGAAGCAGTAAACCATTGGGTGGCATCATACGATAAAAAATTCCTACTTATTGCAATCATAGTTCAATATTAGCTTCCTACTTTGTTGCAAGTACAACTGTTCGAATTCAGTGTCGTCGCAGTGAGAACTGCCGCCATGGCACATGCAGGAACAATCAGCCATTTACCTGTGCTTGTGAGCTGGGATGGGGTGGAATTTCATGTGAACGAGGTGAGTTTGTTTGAAATATAATGACAGTGCTAGAAATCAATATTGTAGCACTGTTGAGCGAAATATTTGCTGGTTGTGACAAAAACTAGTGTCTCTCTAGTGCTACAAGAGCAAAGAAATGCACCTCGGTAATTTTCGCTGAAAGAAAAGGGGCCAAAGATCTCTTTCTGGTTAATGACAGCGGCCCGTTCTTTGCGAGACTAGTGGCGAGCCCATATGGAAGATAGTAGATTGAATACCGATAAATTTGGATGACGTAGGTTTTCCGAGATTTTGTGATTTAGATGCTTTCAAAGAGGACAGCAATGGATTATCTGACTCTTCTATGCCTTGTTGACTTACACCTTCAACTACAAATTTAATCTCATATTAACAAGTATATATACAGACGGTCTTTCAAGTATACAGAAGTTATCCCGCACTCTGGCTAAAATCTTTCAACTAATTAAAAGGGAAGTGCATGGAAGCTCGTTCGAAGTCGCATCCAAAAAACACTCAGTGTTTTCTAAGCTCTCCATAATAAGCTTCTTTCAAAAGAATTCAATAAACGCGCCAATCACTCTATCAGTATGCGTTCGCTCAATAGCATAGCCTTTAGTACTAACAATGGCTACAGTATAACTAAGTGCGCTAAAAATAGATGAATTCGTTTAAAAAATTTGATGAATAGATGAATTCGTTTGAAAAATTTGATGATCTTCGCGTCCTTCGAGCGAGCGAAACCTACAGAGTAGCGTTGGCGCGCGACGAGGACAAATTGATACCTTGGTGGTGTCTGCTACGGTCACACAGCAATTGACGCCATTAGGGATCTGAATGCAGCTGAACTGCCTTATTGACTCACTTTTTACCTATTACTCTCTAAAAAGAAAATGCTTAGATCTTTTCTGCGTGAGCAATAAATCAAGGACGTACGTGCACAAATGCCCAGAAATCGCAGCATATTTACGGATTTCACTTTAAGATGTCTTCGTATCTCTTTCAGACCTTGAGTACTGCAGCCGTCACAAGCCATGTAAAAACGGTGGCGTCTGCACAAATGGAGGTCTCACGACGGATTTCACCTGCCAATGTCCGGAAGCATTCGTTGGCGTCACATGCGAGATTGAGCTTCCCAGTATTTGTCAACATCAAGGAATTTGCCGAAACGGTATGAGACCTTATGGAAAAAAGTACACCTGTTTTTTGATCCAAACTCTGAAAATCTTTGACGCGACGAGAAACATATTAAATGTCGACTTTTCTCGCTAAAAGACTTGAGAAATTGTCCCAAGTTTCAGCTGGAATGGCTCCAAATTTAATAGAAAAACTAGGTCTACGAAATAGTTAGAAATACACCGCTAAAGTTTTATTCTTAGCTACTGTTTGAATTTCTGTGAAGATTTCGTCCTTTTCCATAAAACAATCAGTGTGTGCCCCTTTTTTTCGCTCTGATCGCAGATCACCCTTATCCCTGAAATGACTGGCGAAGTCACAAAAAAGGAGAAAACGCGACTGTGCACCACCGTTACCGTAATCCCATGTTCCTAAGCCATCTGTCCAAAGTGTGTGCAGTGCAGTGGCGAGTATTGTGATGCTAATCACTGTCTCCATTAAATCTAGGATGTCGTACGTTGATCGGACGAAGAGTACACAAGAATCACAGTGTCGGCGAAGGCACATTATCCTTGAGTTGAATGTGCTACCCTGGGTTTCGCCGCTTGATGATAGTTTTGGGTTAATGTTCTATTTCAAGAGATGCAGGGATCAAACAGCATTGCTAGCTTTACCTCTTGATAGAATTTACCACATACCCCCCCTATAACACAATCTTTTCATATTCTGCTGAGGGTCAAAGGTGCAGGAAATTTTGCCTTCCACCCTAAAATCTCCAATCTCGTCGATCTTCTTGATTCCGTTCTCTCTATATTATGCGTGCATTCCTTAAATATTCTCGGTTCTCCTTCGAGAGTAAATCTCTTATAATAAGTTTTAGCAATATTTCACAAGAATAATCAGTCACTTGAATCAGCTGTTCACTGTATAGGAGGAATTTGTACGAATATCGATACAAAATTGGGCAGATGCTTGTGTGTGAAAGGTTTTGAGGGCAAATACTGTGAACGACGAATAGTGCAGACCCATTGCACACAGAATACCTGCAAGTGAGTATTTCTGCTATTTTCACATAGTTGTTTCCCTAGCAGATAAGAATATACTGCCAGTTAGGCGAAGCAATCCGCAATACTCTTTGTCTTTGTTACCAATTGATTTTCGACGAATCAATGCCTTTCTGCGAATAGATTAAAACGAAACTTCTCGAAATCGATCCAAAAATCCCATTCACCCTGCATTAAGTAGTTTTTTTGTCGATCCAACTCGGCACTGTCGCTATCTCATTTTCAGCGGCAAGTATAATGCCGTGAGTAAATTACCACACAGTGGCTGCTGTAACATTGTCAACGAATTCAATCACATATTTCAGAAATGGGGGCTCATGTCAAGGCGAGTCGGTATGCGTTTGTCCATTGTGCTTTTCTGGTTACGACTGTTCTGTCATCGACAAAGAATGTCTCTGGAACCGGGCAAATGTTTCGTTGGTGACCAAAAACGGCTTTAATGAAGACGAACAAGACGTACCAACGAGGATTCTCATGTTCATGGGTAGGTTATACCAAAGATTCTGATTTTAGGACATCATATCACACAGTATTCGTATTAGTCTCAGTTACTTCTTTATGCTAATGGTGTTAATGTGGGGAGGGGATTCCGGAGTGGTCAGTAATAAACATCGTCTGGAAGCAAAGTAATGGTGCGACACACTCCCCAACGTTCCCCATAGTCCACGTAGGAACGCTCTTGGCGGCTGCACCAGGACTCCAAAGAGAATTGCTTCGGCTCTCGTTCAAAGTCGTACATAAAGAAGAAGATAAACCTCCAGAAGCACGAAGAAACACGCGAAATTTTCGAAGACCTTTGCGGACAATGAATGCGAGTAAAACGGATCGAATGCAAAAATACTGCGATCCGCAAGGTAGGTGCGATGACGAGACACATAAAAAAAGTTTTAACAGAGTGTAAAAACGCATTTAACATTTGAAACGAACAAATAGCGAAGGCGTGAGCAAACCAATGTCGTGGCTCTTTGACAACTCCTGATAATTCATCGACAAGCAAAGCAGTTGAGGAAGCTTGAGTTCCTTACTGAAAAAATGTTGCCTCATCGCTTTAGGTCCATAAACGATTTTTTTTTGGAAACATCCTTCAATATCAAATCCGAGCCAATGTCCACAAAAAATTGAAAGTACGACTCATATTTTTAAAATTGTTAACACAAGCGCGATAGCTACAGCTATTTAGAGATATGGGGTCACTCTCCGCTCTCTTCCACGAAACCCCAGCTATTCAATCGCCTTGCTTTTCGAATGCGAGCTTCGGCTTAAAAAACTAGGATGAAATACGTTCATCGTGCTTTAAAAAAATAGAAAAATAACTTTACAAAGCAATATGATTTGCATTTCATTGTCGAAGACTTGTGGATTCTAATGGTTTTCATTCCAATTAAAAGATCACCATGAACTGAGATATGTTTGTTTAAATTGAATTGCACAGTAAATTTTTACAGCATGTGTTGTCTAAAATGCACACCGTCTGCTGTGTTTAATTAACAATTCGATGACGATTCACTGAAATCTCAAAAATTCCAGGTTTTCCTTATAATGGTTGCGCTTATTTCATAAATTTTCAGCTTTTATCTCAATTATGATGCTCGCCTCGTGTGTGGTTGTGTTTTTCTTCAAATACACAAAAATGAAGCGTCTTCTTCACGATCCGATTACTCAAAATACGTTGAACGAGCGTCGGCAGATTCACATTGATCTTCCTAAGCAGTCAATCGATAAGCGATCATACTCGGATGATTCATACAAGGTGTGTTTATTACTAAATGAAATAACATATGGCTTCTTAGGGGATCAATCGATAAAACACTGACAGTGTATGGAGTAGAAGATTTGTTCGTCTGCCCGGACATGCAACGCATATATCATTGTCTCATTAACCGGCACATAGAGCGCAACGGGTGGCCTGTACACTTTGATGTGCCGACGAACCGACTGAATTCCGCCGGATCCTGTTGAGTGCAGACTGTTTCGACGATGTGTTATAGCGTTGTATTGTAGAAGTAGATGAGTATCAGAAATCCTTATCGAATATTCCCGTTTTCCTAACGGTGGATATACGGAAGCGAAAGACATTGAGAGCACTCCGTAGTCTGGAAGTATGTACGGCAGAATGATAAGGAAAAGCAGTCTGTTGAAATCCCCAATGAATTCTGATATCTGTTTATAAGCATATAGGGTAGAATTTTGATGATGTACATCGTCTTATGCCATGTCAACGAAGATAATGAGTGGAACAGACTCTTCCTTACTCTCCTTTGAAATTAAACAGCGTCTTCACAGAAGGAACTGCTTAAATGCAAATGTCTCACAACACGCGTATTGAAACTAAGCGATTTTCTCCTAACGGTAAACATTTGAAGACTTCCATCTTCCACATTATTGCCAAACTGACAGCTTTAAAAGGTTTCAATGGTAATTTGTAAAACTGCAATTTCTTCCGAAATTTTTGTTCAGGTTTTTGTTATTCCATCAAAGAGGCACACTAAAACTGACGTTGAGAAATCGTGTGATGGAGTCGACTATGAAAGTAAACGATACGTGACACAGCTGCGTGGACGCTACTGTACACTACCGTGCATGGACGTCGTCGTCGCCGAACCGGAACATCAATACGCCGAAATCGAATACCGACCGACTACCGTATCTCTAGATGACAAGCAGTTTACGGAAAACGCCTGTGTAGTTTAGCGATGTGTTCTCAACTCTTAGACCGCAATCATTTCACTGAAATGCTTTGATCTCGTCCTTTTTTTAAGATATAAGCATCCATTTGTTGTAGAATTATGAACCGGTGGCATTGAACACATTATCAAAGTGCGTGCGAATAATTCTTAGGAGCTTTGAATCCACAAAAATATTGATAATAGTTGTATAATAGCTTTTTAAATGTACCCAAATGATCTAACTGATCCTACAGATTCTTGTGCCGCTTTCAGTTAAAGCTGTTCTAGTTAGTTGCCTTACACGTAGATGAATTGCCTTATCAACAAAAGCCCAAACAAACCTATTACAGAGAGTCTGCGTTAGAAATTAAAAATCCGTTGGCCTTTTCTACATATATCGAAGTATTTGAAAGCTATCTCGCATTTCAAAACAGCCTTCAGTTTCCAACTTCGGCTCTGTTTCAACCAAAGTCCTTCAAAGTCAACAGCGTAAAATATTGTACATCATAACTCTACGTCATTTTTCCACCTTGTCTTATTTTCGTTCTCTTATTCTGTATATATTGTCAAATCATAATTGTTTTACCGCATGATGCATATGCAACAATAATTTATATAAATATAATTTTAAAACATACTGTTCATTTGTGAGGAACAGATATCACATTTTGATGTGGAAGCTTTAACCTAAGCACCCTAGTGAAAGTTCTTAAGCCCTCACCATCAGAAGTGCTACAAAAACACTGTATAAAAGGACTAGTTCCTTATTAATTTGTACTAAAACGTCCAGACTAGGGGATGGGCTCTGGGAAACGCTGATTTCAAACTTTGTTTTTAGCTTTTCAGCTTCTTTGAGCTTCCAAAGACAGCAATGCTCAATTCCCTAGTAAAGAAATGTCAAATTACTTGAAGCCAATAATGCCTTTATTTAAACGATTTTTTAATGTGCTGTTCAGATCCTGGCACTTATTTCATACGGTTTGTCGTCTTGCATCCATCATAAATGAAAAACTGAGTGTGCGTGAAGGATACCCCATAACATGGGTTTCACCTTCTTCATAAGTGTCGTTAAATCCCGGGATACTCCTGATACGGCTTTCCGTGATCTTCACCACAGGTAAGCGGAGGCCTTTGTGGATCTAAAAAAGCTTTCACAGCATAGGGATGATAGCTATTTTGCGATGTCGAGATGGCGAAGGTTAGGTTAGCCTGGGTTTACAGATTGTAGGAACATAACGGTATGGCCCCAAAATCTGGAGAACTTCTGTTACTTCGCATCTCTTCTCATTTACAATCTATTATCGATTGATCAAATATAGAAACACCTTTAATTTTGACCTCATATTCTTTCAATCCAAAATGATTAACTTGAAAGTCCTGCTTGTCACTAAGTGCAAGCATCTTTTGGTCATGGCCAGTCGAAAATAATTCATCGCCTGGGCAAGTGGACTCCTTCGATCTAGACACCGCACCTTTTGAGTGGATGCAATAAAGCGGGTGGTGTCAATATCTACACTTCTCCCCTTCTTCGTCCCAAAAAAACGTTTCAAGACGAATCACATCAGAATAGCAAATCTAAGCTGAATATTCTATGGAAATAACGCATGCGCCAACAGAAACGTGGAGTTCTCTTGGAGAACCCGGATCACATGCCGAAACCTGCAATGACGAAAGTCTTGCTATTTTGTTAGTAAGATTTCGAAGAAATGCTCTATTATAAGCTATACCATCAGACGTAGGATAGATCATGTCTACTCGTCAAGATGTGGACAGAATCTCCGAGTAGAGCATTCTCACCTCTCATGACTAGGCCGCATTTGTCCAGCAAGGTCAGATTTCTTAAATGGGTACATTTTGACAGAAATAAAGCGCATTTTGAGTTCCTTTAGGTGTCTACCTGAGTGTTTCTCAAATATGCGATGTATCTTTACTTTGCTTTACTCAATGGCTCAGCATTTTCGTCGCGCGAACTTTTTTTAATGAGTCACGTATCAAAGAGAAATTATCCCGCATTCATGACGTACTCTTTCGCAACATTCTCTTACTATCTTTTAAGGTGTCCCATTAATCAATGAATAGTGATTTATGCAAAAAAACTTCTACAATTGATCCAATATGGGAAAGGTAGTTAAAATTCCTTTCCACGCAGTTCGACTTTGCAAAAAAATGCTTTCGCAGGACTAATCGTGGATTCAACATCCTTTTCAGGAATAATTCATTCTAGCATATTGTAATTAAATACAAAACAGCCACTTCTGTGTTAACCTAATACTGCACGCTACGTGCTGCCACTTTTTAAATTGCCTAAAACCTATCAAATAGGGAACATGATCACCTGAATCACCTTTAAATACTTTGAACAACGTGAACTCCACCCAGTAACACCAAAAAAAGAACTCGACTTGTGTCCATAGAGTATAAAGCTTTACAGTGAGACCTCGCCCGTTAGAAAGGCACAAAGAGCATCAGGATTTTAGCTGAAGTCCCTTTAATTTTAGTATTTCTTACGAGAAGGAAGCCATGAGTACCAATAGAAAATGTGCTGTAAGGGATCAGAAGCCCTCACTTCCAGCAGTTTTGACGAGGATTTCAGCAATTGTATATGAAAACAATAAGCAATATGAATAAAATAAAACACTTAACTTTAAACACAGATGCTTATGTTTAACGTTTTGTTTTCTGCCTTCTATAATTTTCATGGCAGGTTACTAAGCGAAATACAACCACAACGTTGCTGAGATATTTGCAAAACTCTGGACCGCAGGTGTCTATGGTGGGGAACGAACGCGCTATTATCCTTTCCGGGGAGTAACGCGTTCACCACCACACCATGCGGGTCCTTTGTTTCGCACGTCTCTCAGCTATTTCTATCGATCTTTTTGCCACAGCAATCACCCGTCAGCGGGGTTGATCTGGGGAGCGCAAATCGGCATAGAACCCAGTTAAGCTATGGCTGTAGTTGAAATCACAATGTTTAACGTTTTGTTTTCTGCCTTCTATAATTTTCATG